TATAAAGAGATTGATAGATAGACAGGCAGATAGTTAGATAATTAGGTAGATAGGTAGATAAGTAGATAGGTAAATAGGTAGATAGAAAGGTAGGTAGATAGGTTAGTAGGTAGGCAGATAGATATATGGACATTTAGATAGATAGATAAAAATATATGAATATATAGATAGATAGGTAGATGAATAGACATAGATAGATGGGTGGATGAATAAATAGATAGATAGGTAAGTAGGCATTAAGATAGATATATATAAAAGATAGATAGATAGATAGATAGATAGATAGATAGATAGATAGATAGATAGATAGATAGATAGATAGATGAATGGATGGATGGATGGATAGAAAGATATATAGATATGTATACGAAAATTATCAAATTTAAAAAACGCAGGACGCATCTGATTATAGTCCTGTTGGACACCTTGTCTTACCTATTTCTAGTCTCATACCCAACTCATAAACCTTCATTTGGAATAAAGATCGCGAGGACGCATACTTTCTTTAAGGGGTCATGGTTCTGTCAGGCAGTAAAGTTGTTTTGCCTCTAGATTTAAGTCTCTCTATAAATGCCACGTTTCCAGACTTTTAGGTTGCCGCAGGCCTTTTTCAATGTATCTGTCAGGTTTGCTATCATTCCTCAACTTGTCACTACGACGATCTCTGCCTTGGGGCTAAGTGTAGCCCACCCTTGCTGCCCAATTGAAGTCTGATAAAGCAACCAGTTGTCAACGCGCGGAAAAAAGCGATCGTGCCTAGACTAGCAACTAACTATGGCTTGGCATATTCTAAGAAGGCCTGCACTAAACATGATCGGTTTCTGATTGAAACAATAATTTATTGTCTCGGTACCTATCATGGAAAAAAGTAAGCCTTGACTAGCCGAAAAAAACTTTTCCCCGAAAGCTAAAGATAACAAGAACTCTTGTGTGGCTAGTTTGTTGCAATTTAGTCAGCAGTAGAATCTTTGCATAACCAGTGTCTAAGTGCCGAGTTCTCGTCTACTTGATGAGAAAATCTTCCCAGCAATACCTTTTGCCATACAATTAGGAAAAATCTTGCACAAGACTTACTAGAGGAACCAAAGAAGGCCATTTTTGACCATCTACTACAAAGATCTATTTCAAAGATATCATATCCTGCCTCACTTATTGTCAACATGCCAGTTCTCCCGCTTTGCTCAGTGTCTCATAGGACTGTCCGGTTTCACCGAAATATCGGGAAGATCGCCCAGAGTGAGGAATTAAACACTGGATTTGTTTATGATTAGACAATGCGTAACTCGAAAGGACTAAACTTGGTTGGCTTGTTTAGTGAGTTTGACAGAAGATTGAATGAAATCTCGTCATCTTCATGGTACACAAGAGTAAATGACCGGCTTAAGGGCATGACGACGACTCACTGGAAGGATTACAAAGGAAAAAGCATGATGCCGATGAAAAGTGAAAAGTTGATTTTTTTTACTTTTTACAGAATATACCCCTCCTAAACTGGGTGCGGTTTGGGAAAATTTGTCATTTGCCTAAACTGTTTATCTGATGCGAGGTCAAAGTATCGGCACGTAAAATTCAGATTTTGTTTGGTTAGGAGATAGCCGTGACTAATTGCAAAACTTTTAGTAAATAATAAACGAATAAGAACTTGCACTTGCCGAATCCGTTTATTTAATCATTCTCTGCTGAATACCAAATATGCTTAAGTAATATATTAAACATTTTTGTTTATTTTCTGCCACATCATCTATCAGTGCTTTTGTCACAGAATCAGTAATTCTGTCATTGTCCGATCGGCCTCTCTGACTTGTTGACACATAACACAATTAATCCACATTTTCTTCATTTATTTCCATTTTCCCCTTTTAAGACAGCTCTTTGTCTACGATGTTCGGCTCTAGTGTGGCAGGGTCGAGGTCAATGGGTCTGCTACCATGTACGATCTCCTGGCTCTTCCGAATGATCACCCAGCGACAGGAGGATATTGGCGCCCGATTCTCGGTGCGAGTATCTGCTGTGGAGCTGACAAACAGAGAGGAGACTCTACAGGATCTGCTTGCCACTAGTTCTCAAAGTGGGTTCAGCTTCAAAGGTTTAAGTCAAAATTGATAAACCTAGGGACACACATATTGTATACGAACGCGAACTTACACAGATATCAATTTGCAGTTGAACTTGAACATACAGTTAAGCATGCGTGTACATAGTTATGCATACAACAATGAAATTAATTAAATTTAAGGAAGATCTCTTGACTGTACTTAATAGGATTCAGTACTTTTATCACTCTTGTTCTGGCCTTTATCAATGAATGTTCAAAAATAGATAAATATATAGGTAGGTAGGTAGGTAGATAGACAGACAGACAGATATATAGATAGATAAATAGATAGAAAGATAAAAAGGTAAAAAGATAGATAGATAAATATATAGATATATGGATAGATAGATATATAGATAAGTGAATTGAAAGAAAGATAGATAGGCAGATAGATAAATAGATAAATATATAGATATGCAGATAGATATAAATATAGATAGGAAGATGGAAAGATGGATAGATAGAAAGATAGAAATATAGATAGGTAGGTAGGTAGATAGAA